TGGTGGGGGTGGGGGGGCGCACAGGGCTATTTGGGGGGCACTGCTGGTGCATGGGGGGCATACAGGGTGAGTATTTTCTGTGTCTCTGCCCCCATGTGGGTTTATGGGCTGCCATCTGCTCCCCCCTCTGACTCTCTCTTTACTCTCCAAGGACGGCCCGGCCACCATCCTCACCTCTGTTAAGAAGAAGGTCAAGAACGTTGGCATCTTCCTCAAGGTAAGGCTGGGGGTGTGGGAGAGGTGGGGGGAGGCAGACCCGATATCAGAGCAGGGCATGGGGGTCTCCCATGCTTCGGGGGCAGTGAGTTCTGCGTGGACGAGGGGAGGGGATGACAGAAGGTCCCCAAGGTGCTGGGTGGGAGTGGGACTGGGGAGACGTTGCGGGACAAAGTGGCAAAATTTCATAGATTTGTAGGTTCCCAAGGCAGAAGGGACCATTACAACCCTCTGGTCTGATGTTCTGCAGAATACAAGGCAGCGAACATCCCCAGCGTAGTTCCAAGCACGTCCCTTCCAGGGGGTGGAGGATGGAGGGTGCGGGGCAACTTTGGGGCAGAGGTGTAAAGGGTGGGGGCAGCAGTTCTGACCATTCTGTCCGTCTCCCACAGAACGAAGACGAGGAGGAGGAAGAGGAGGAGAAGGACGAGGCTGAAGACCTGCTGGGGCGCAGCTCCAGAGCAGCAGCGCTGCTGACGGAGCGGACGCGGGTGCGGTTCCCCTCCTGCCATGGGAGCTGGGCCGGACATGGGACACCTTTCAGGGGGTCCTGCGGCTCAGAGGGGGCTAGGGGGGCTAATTTCCCACAAGGGAGGGGCTGGGGATGAGTCGTCCTTATGGCTGCGGGCTGGCTCAGGGCAGGGCGGTGGCTGGGCTGCTGAGCTGGGGTCTGGGCCTCACTCGCATTCCTGCTCCCCCCAGAATGAGCTGACGGCGGAGGAGAAGCGTCGAGCCCACCAGAAAGAGCTGGCCATGCAGCTCAACGAGGAGGCCAAGCGGCGGCTGACGGAGCAGAAGGGCGAGCAGCAGATCCAGAAGTGAGTGGGGGGGAACTCGGGGGGCAGGGAGGGCAGTGACTCTAGAAGTGAGTGGGAGGGGAGCCCCGAGGGGCAGGGAGTGGATCCAAAAGGGAGTGGATCCAGAAGTGGAGGAGGCCTTGGGGGGGGGGGGGGTGGGGGGGGGGGAGGGGGGGGGGGTGCGGGCGGGGGGGGGGGGGGGGGGGGGTGGGGGAGGGGGGGGGGGGGCTGGCTGAGCGCTGTATCTGTGGGTGATCTGCGGTTCCTTGGAGATGTGGTGCCGGACGAGGAGCGCTGTGCCGTGTTTCAGAGGAGGCTGTGTGTGCCTGCTGGATATCTGGGGGCCCGGGGGGCTGTGCTGTGTTCCGGAGGGAGGCTGTGTGTGCCTGCTGGTTATCTGGGGGCTGTGCCGTGTTTCGGAGGGAGGCTGTGTGTGCCTGCTGGATATCG